CCTAACGGCCTCCTCATACATTTTCTCCACATTTGGCGGTAAACAGGAAAAAAGAAGGTCCACGAAAACCATGGCGCACGCGATAGATTCCTTAGGTAACTATTTTAGCATGTATTTGCTCACTATAAGCCAAATATCGGACAGCATCACTCTTCCCCCTTTATCGAAAGAAGACATCCAGTTTGCTCGTGAGCGGAACATCGCTTGCGACAGCCTGCTAAACAGTGTATCCATCGAACTGTGTCCTGAAGTTCTTATTGGGATCGATTACTATAACGATATCATTAATTTGGACCTCAATCCCTCCCGCTTCCCTTCAGGGCTTTTGGCTATTCCCACCATTTTTGGTCATATAATAACAGGTTCAGAAATGACCCATAGGGACTCGAAAGAATTTATACAAGAAGACACCTTCATGACGGTTCTATCGAATAGGGACGATTTTCCTGACCCATCCATAATGTGGAGATTGGACGGACTAAGCATAACAGATGATATTAACGAAACTGACGAAGGTAGGAAGGTATAGACGACTTTTATAGAAACGTCGAAATTAGGAACAAGAAAATATTCGTTAAATTCCCATGGAAACCCAACAAAATGGATCTGGACAGTAACTACAGACTCGCATTAAGTAGACTATATCAACTTTATAACTCGTTCCAAACGAAACCTGTTATCTGGACTCAATATTGTAATATCATCAAGGAACAGTTCGAAAAAGGGATTATTGAAGATGCTCCTTTTAATGCGATCTCGACCGAATGCCCCGTTTACTATATTCCGCATCAAGCCGTAATAAAACCAAGCAGTACAACAACGAAGGTGCGGATAGTTTTAGATGCAAGTTCGAAAAGAGTAGGACAGTTGTCTCTAAATGATGTCCTTTATCAAGGACCAACCATTTTGCCTCACCTTTTAGGTATTCTCCTACGAATCAGGATCGGAAATTACATAATAGCAGGAGACGTCGAAAAGGCCTTTCATATGATATATTTGCACGAAACGCAACGAGACGCAACACGTTTTCTCTGGCTCAAAGATCCGGGAAATGGCCCCTCTCCGCCGAATATTCGCCCCATGCGTTTTACACGAGTACCATTTGGCACAAAGAGCAGCCCATCGCTTTTAGCCATGTCAATAAAGTACTTCCTGGATCAAAAAACACCAAGAAAACTGTGTTCGG